TAAAAGTAATCTTGAGGCAGGTAGATAACTCAGTTTTCTCAAGGAACTTCCCCATTTGTTTTTATCAGAGGTCTCTGTGTTCAACCTGAATCCTTCCTCATTACTCTGTAGGAGTGGGGAGTTCATGCTGTTCTTTTTGGGAGGGAAGTGGGACTTTGCACTCTAATGCAGATAGTCCACGTATCCATTTCCTAAAAGCAGAAGGATTTCCCTGTCTGCATCTTTTGTGTCCTGTCTCTGTACAGTGTAGACCTCACCAGGCTCATCCCTTCTGCAGCGCTTTTCCACTTGACTGCTTTTGATCATAGTTTTTATCCATGGCAATGTCCTGACTGATGCTTTAAAATTGCAGCTTGTTGTTTAATGTTAACTGAGTTACCAGGCAAGCAGTGACTCTACTTCAGCTATGGTGATGATGTTGTTTTCAAACGTTCTCCAACTAGCGAGTCATTAAAAGTTGTAATAAAGGGGTTTGATGGGGCCGCATGTCCCTTTGAAACACGCAGCCCATGCTAATTACAGTGGGTTAGCAAAGAGGTCAAGGCTCATAAGTGCATGAGAGAGGGCACAGAACAGTAATGGTGAGGAGTTGAAAATAGTTGCAGAAAATGTTAATTACACAGCTTGTTCACATCAGCTTTCTCCTTCCATTGAAAATAAAGCTCAGTTTGAAGACACTTGTAAAAGTTGCTCTTTAGGAATCAAACTCCCTTATGTCTCAATAACTGGTAATGTGCTAGAAATGTAAAACTGCAGTAGCATAAAGAGAGAACTCATCTGTGCACAGTTGTTTTAGTCTCAATTAAAGCTGGAAATAAGATTTTTGCGTGACTCTGGTGCCACATTAGGGCCAGCGCACAGCTTTGCCCTGTGGACCTAGTAGTAGATGATTAATAATATAATATTAATCATAAATATAATAAATAATATCTGATAATATCAGATTCTGCAGAGGACAAGGGAGATTTTTCCACTGACTTCCATTACCTTCGGATCAAGTCTGCTATTGATTTGTTATCGTTCCTGAAGAGCCACAGGCTGTCTTACAGACAGATAGTGCACTTCATCAAGGAACTTTGCAACTTAAAGGCCCTGTTGTGCAATTATCAAATGGGCAAGTACATTTATGTGTGTGACTGAGCAAAGCTGGTAACATGTGTAGACGTTTGCATGGATGCTAAATTCTAATAAAAGATGACAGTGAGGGGAAGGTATACAATAAAAATAAGGGCAGAGAGATGTGCAATTAACAAGTTCTTACCTTATAGCTAAGTAGTATATATCTGTGTAGTTCATGTTGCTCAGAGATTGCACTATATTTACTACTCAAAGAAGCAGAGCATTATAGTATAGAAGCTGGTTCTTTTCCGGTTAGTCCCTTAGCCAAACTCCAGAGCCAAAAAGTTTTTAGGGTGTAGGTAAATCTGACAGAAACTTAACTTCAGAACTTGTGCTTATGTGTGTTTCATAGTCACAAAACTGTCAAATCACAAATGGCAAGCGGTCCTCTGAGAATGTCCGTAGGAGAAGGAATGTTGTACTTGAATGGTGGTATGTCTGCAACACTGCAGAAAACAGGAAGAAATTAATTAAGAGAGGTGAAATTTTCATACAGATACTGAGAGAAAATGTACTTTCAATCAAAACAAAAATCGGGACAAATATGGTTGGCAAGACTGAAATATTGTTTTGAGTTACTTAAAAAAAAAGTAGGAGAACTCTTAAAATATGTAATCTTTTTCCCAATGAAAACCCTCTCTTTCCTTTTCTTGAGTGACAGTCTTTTATGCAAGTAATAGAATGACTGAGTAATTTTCTCCATTGAAAGTAAATGCTAGCTTTTGAAAGTTTTAAAGGGAAAATTTAATATAAAATGGAGAAAACCAGGATTTTTATTTCCTTTTTGTAAATGGTCTTATGTTTCAAAAAATGCATGGGATTAAATAAGGTTATCAGGTCCCCACCAGGTGCAATTTCTAACCTACCTGCAAAATTTGAATTCGGTGATTAATTTTATTCTTTCCTAGGTTGCACTTGTAGCTCTATCTCCAAGTCTTTTCAGAGATAATGTAGCTCCATGAGCCATGTTTAGCATAATCAAAATAATCATGTAGGTGCAGGAACCCCAGGATTAAAGAGAACTACAACTAGCTATTATTAGAAAATATCTGTGGAAGGCTAAGAGCATCCTACTTCATCCTCTTGGGATTTCTGTCAGGGCTGTCACTTTTCTGGTTACTTGGCAATGATGGTTGTATTTTTATGGTGCCTCAGTAGCAGATTTGCTGGCTCTTTTGGCTGTTATATACATGGCAAATATGATGCAGAAAGTTGTCCTGTACTCAGTTCTGTTTCCAGGGTCATCCTCTTGAGTTTCTAGGATTTTCAAGCCCAGGTCATTGACAGAAGCTCAGGACTTTTGGCTCATGTTTCAGCTTCCAAATTATTCTGTTTTTCTGTTCATGAACGTGTCAGGCCAGCATCAGGACCCGTACATGTGCTTCTCTGGGTGGAAATCTGTGTCTTGTCCTTTAAATGGGCTACTGGCCTACACAACTTGGAAGGGGATCTTTCACACGTGGTCCCACCCCCATCCAGGAATCGCTGAGAGTGTTGCTGTCATTTTCCAGAGACCTTTTGCTGGAGTAACAAAGTTTTTTTGTAAACTAATTGAAATGGGCTCTCGCAGTATCTGCTTACATTGTGCCTCTCCCAGCCAGGCAGGTGCATTTTCAGCAGCTCCAAACTGAGGCACATTTTAAAAACTGCAGGCATGATAAAAATGACATGATAAATCTGATTTACTCTAAAGTGCTGTCAGCTCAGGCTTGGCTTTTTGGGAAAAAACAAAACAAAACAAAACAAAACAAAACCCCCCCCCCCCCCCCCAACAAAACAACTCAAACCCAATAGAAATAATGCCTTAAAAAATTACAGTATTGATAGCCTTGCTTTTAAACAGATGACTAGCCCCTGGCAGACCTTGGCATCTCTGAAAATACTGGAGCACTCAGAACCTAAAATACAGAAGATGGAAAAATTAGACTTACATAAAATCAGTTATGCTACCTTTTCACTGGCCACACTGAGAGGATAGCGCACTCTTTCCTTTGTAATAAGTGATTGATTTATTGATAATAAAGTGCATCTGAGATTTACTCACAATGGTAGATTTTATAGGCAGTAACCTAGTAGCTTGAACCAGCTGTTTGTAGCTGCACATTAAAAACTTTGACCTTGGGCTTTCATGTTTCTCTGCCTTCCCTACCTTGGCTTTCTTGTAGCAGCCACAGCTGCATCCTTGTCTTGCAGGAACTGTGATGCATTTTTGGTGTTGCTCATGTTTACCCACTTGGTAATTTTTTCTTTCCTGTTTTTCACTTCTTTTGGACATTTTATAGCAAGTGCTGGTGGTCTTGTGTAGTAGTGTTCCCTGAGGTTTAAGAAGCATTCATTCATTGCTGGAAATGGTATATGAAATGATATTCTTTAGAGAAATCTTTTTTTCCCTTATAAAATGAAAAGCGAACATTTTAAAAGGCATCATACACAGAAAGTGCGCTGAAGGAATTTGAAGTGTATGGTATGTTCCCAGCTACCTCCTCTGAGGATTTCTTCAGCACTTGTTAATTAGAAAACCCCTGTCAATAGAAGAGGTCTGCCAGCTGTCACATATATTAAACAGTGTATTATCTCCAAAGTTAGAAATTGTTTGATAGACCATGTTAAGTGTTGATCAGCCTGGGAACATCTAACTTCAGTGAAACTCACTGAGATGATTAATTATTCTTCTTCAGGGTAACTAAACCATATGGCAAAACAAACTTTTATAACTAAGGAAGTGCTCTGAGGCACTGAGTGGGGAAACAATCATATTTAAAAGGAACACTCAAAGCACTTCATTTGTCTTGATGTTATTGAGAAGGATGAATATCAGTGGAAAACATGCTCATTTGTTTATAAAAAAATAACATTCTAGTGAAATATTGACACGCTCTAACCTCTTTGAATGTCCAAGAAGTGATATGAATAACTCAATGCACTCAATAGCTGTGCATTAATTGGAAAAATCAGTACAATCTATTGTTGAGATCTGTGAAGAGGAAATCAAACTTCTAGTAAAGTTCCCTGTGAACTAGGGAACAAGGGTGCTGTGGGTTTAGCCCAGATGCATAATTTTGTGTGTCATACAGGTAGAAGATTTAAAAAGGGAATCTATCTATATGCAAATCATCCTTCCACTTCAGTAGCAAGCAGTTTTACATATAAACATGTGCTGACCACCAGCATGCAAGAAGATTGTGCCTAGGAAAATACCCTTTGATGTTAATTTATGTATTTTTCTTTAGCTTGGGTTGGTTTTATGGTTTTCACTCTATTACAGAATGTTTGCACAACCAATAAGGACACCCAGAGTTGACTATTGATGTTTATTGAATCATTCATATCAAATAAACACTTTTGGGAGTCTGACCACGGAAAGTAAAAGCATTCCTTTGAGAGGAGAGAAATCAGAAATCCTTATTGGAAAAAAAGGACGTCTGCTTGTTTCATTTTTGAAATGAAAAGGAGGAGAAGGCATGATTTCAAGTGGCATGACTGAAATGTGGACACACCAGGGTGGGTGTTCTAGTATGGGTGTACGCAGTCAGGTCCACAACTTGCGGTTGAGGTGCTCTGGGATGCATTAACCCTTTGCACTGTGCAGCCTCTTAGATGAAAAGGGTTTTTATGTGCCAGTTCCAAGTCAAACTATGAAGTCAGTCATCTAATCTGTTCCAGTTGGAACAGTTCCTATCTCTGTGCTTACTGCCTGGACAGATTGTAGTGCAGAAGGGTTCAGGTCTCATTAATGTATCATTTAGAATTGAAAACCTATTCAATTTAATTTTGAGATAATTGGCATATGCTGTCCTTTTTTCTCCCTCTCTATTAATTTACTGATTTCACTGAAGCGAGAGGAAATCATATAATTATTCCACGTTAGTAGCATTAGAACAGATATTTAAGAGCCTGTTTTAGTCATTTGGGAACAGAAAATTGGACACACATAGTGGGATTATTCTGGGGTCTGGGCCCATAAGGAAATGAGCACTCTTAACTTCCTAAAGTGAGGGATTTGAAGACCCTCAGTACCTCCCTGTCCCATTCAACTGGGTCCTTTAGTTCCTTTACTTTAGGTGTGTGACAAAGCCATTAACTTAAATGGGAACATGAACACACTGCAAGATAGGTGCAGAGGTAAGCAACAGGAAGCCAAAAGGGAGTGAACAGAATTTTGTAGTGATCTGGCATTTTACTTCACCAAATGCAAATTATACACAATTATTTTCTCATTCCTCTGCTTCACTCTCCCATGCTGATCTCTTTCCTGGGTGCTGACGTTTTTCTTCTACCCTGTCTTTGCTAACATTTTCTACTAAATCAAGTAACAAGCTGCCTTTGTTACAGGTGAAGGACTCCTGAAAGTTGCAGGGGCCTGCATCATCTGGGCTGTCAGAATTCCAGTGCCTTTTTCCAGGGTGCTGGCGTTTCTCACCATATTGGTCATTTAGGTCTAGCTCATCATTCCAGCCTCTTTTGCTAGGATACTGGCGCCTGTACATCAGATACCTCCTGCCTGGATGCTGTCTTTTGGATAACTTATTCAAATAGTTTAGCTGTGCACTAGCAGTGTCAGCATACTGATCCGACAATGACCTTCTGCCAGGATGCTGTTGCTTTTTCAGCTCCAGATAGCCATCAAGGTCATCTTCTATCTCTCTTTTCCCTGGATGCTGCCTCTTCTGAATGTCTCCATAAGATGTGTCTTCCTCAATATCTCTTTTTCCAGGATGCTGTCTCTTCTCCAGGTCACTTAGGTACTTTTTCCCAGGGTGTTGTCTTTTGGAAAGCCATTCTGGCAGAGGGGCATTTGATTCTGTCCAAGGAAAAGAATAATGTTAATGAGAATGAGCCCCCATAATCCTCACTAAGGAAGTTGAAATGGGAATTTGTGGAGTTCTATGGTTCAGAATCATAATCTGTTGCTCGTTATGCCCATTTAATTGCACAGTTAACTGTATGGTCTTTAATTTGATCACTCTGGATGGCATCTGTCAAAATAGTTCTGGGACATTTTTAGCGAGGATGGATTGATACATTAGGATCTAGCTGCAGCCAAATGGGAAGACATGCAATGACAAAGCCTAATGTGTTGATTCAGGTAAATGTGTCAGATTCAGGTAAAGGGAGGTGAGTACAAGATGCCGAGCAGCTGGAAGAAATCAGCTGCAGAAGCTGGGTATGGGGAAGAGCTGGAAATCAGCATGAGACAGGGCAAGGATAGGGCTGAGACACAAGTAGAAGCAGGGATGTGGACATGTGAAAGCCAGCTCAGTATTTCCAGCTACCAGTCATAACTCTATTAGTCTCTCTTACTCATTTTTAAGCTCTTTTTAATATCTAAGGTCCTGGATTGACATAACCAACTCTCAGCATTCATGTGAAGAGGGAGGAAGGCTTTTTCTATGGGCACTTGGGGCCACCTCCTCTTTCCACTCTGAAAGGACTCTGTGCTCCTTGTTGGTGGCAGGCACCTATGTGCTGCTTCGTGCAGTCCCTGAGTCTGCTTTGCTTCCACGGCTGTGACCAGTGAGAGCAGAGCATCCGCAAGCTAAGAGGCAGCGGACACTAGAGCAGCCTCTGCATTCCCAGCCACGGAAAAGCCCACCTCTGTTGGGGTGTAAAAACCGGTGGGTTGAGGTAGTAGGTGAATGGCAGCACTCCCACCTCCAATTAACATTAGGTACAGGGTCCACAACTGGGGAATGTCCTCCACGTGTCCTCTTAGAGCTTTCCTAGGGAAGGAAGTACTTGCAGGACAGGCAAATTTTTTGTGACAGTCTTCTACCTTCTTATTATGCAGCAGCTGCTTAGTGATGGTACAGCATTGCCTAAGTGGGGAGATCTTAGAGAAGAAAGTGCCTTTTGAGAACTCTGTATCAGTGTATTGCAGCAGACCTCCTATCTTTCCCCTCCCCTTAGTTAGAGTAATAAATACATACGTTAGAACCTGGGAACTATACATTGGATCTGATGATCTCAGCCAAGTACTATGCTGCCATCACCAGATGGATGTCCCCAGTGTTATATATACCTTTATTCATCTCTTCTTCCTTTTCAGCTTTCTTGAGGACAGACTGAAGAATGAGGCTTTTAGACCTCTGCAGGATGTCATCCAGGGGACTTCTTCCCTTGTTCTCACTTCCCTCTGGAAGGGGCTGCCCGCCATTGAGGCAAACACCACACAAGGTCAGGCAGAGGAGCAGCAGTGGCAGCTGGATAGATGGCATTGTGGGACCGGGGTTCCTGCAGCTTCCGTGGGAGAGAGAACAACAGGGGAAGAGGAGCAAACAAACCTAGCAATAATAGCAATATTTCCAGACACTGAAAAAGAAACATGGCACTGCTGTAGGGATTGAAGTCTCTTATGTGTCTCATTTCTGTTACTAACCTCTCAGTTTATTTTATATTCTTCGAAGAATCTGTAAATTCTTCAAAATTAAAACCAGGCGCTTGTTCATTTTTCTGGCAGAATAAATAGGAGCATTTTAAACACCTAACTTCCTGATGCACAGATAGTTCTGAAAGCCAATGGTTTTGCTTCACCTTCTGCCAAGATGCAAGAATAATTTCCCTCTTGAACTCTGTGTTAACTGTTGGCAATTCCCTTTGCTAAGGGTTAATTTTAAAATAATGCTGGGATTTGCAGCACTTTCATTCCACCTTTAGTTAAAGCCCAACTTTAAGAGTCCATTAGTTTTTTAATATGTATTTCTATACATTTAAAGTAGCTGTGTGTCTGTGTATTTGTCAATATAATAAGATAGCTATGCTCCGTTGGTCAGGGAGGTTTCTTGCATTGGGGAAGCACCTGATATTGTTTTCAGAGACATAATAATAATCATATCCTCTGTTACCTCTTGCCCAGATAACAAGTGTTTTTCTATTTCTTCTAGCTAGCACTGGAGTTCCTAACACACTTATCATGGATTTATTTTCCAGTAAACAGAGTTCCTTCAGTAGAATGCAATACATCTTTAATACTAGTATAGCAGTCATTTAGCTTAATTATTTCTTCAGAATATAAAAGAAATGCACAATTTTACAAAGTTCTACAAATTTTTAAAATAGAGAATGAGTTTATTACCTCTCTTACTGGCAGGCTTCTATCACTTCTGATGAAGTCCTTGGATAACAGCCTTGAGAATATCACCTATAGGCTATTTTGCTCTGAGCAATCTTTAGAAGGAAAGTTAGAATCAGCTAAAAAGGAAATGATTTGGTAAATTACCTGGTTTGTAGTTTCAGATTTTTGCTTGATGCATCTGCCAAGAGATTGTTTAGTCCTTTAAAGCTGTTTGCACATCTGAGCTTCAACGTTGCCCTTTTTCTGCTACAGACACACACAGTATCCAATAGAACTGTTGCTAAGTTCTCTTTGGATGGCTTGTGTCTCCGTACTTATACTGTACTGCCTCTGAACCCTTTATGCAAATAGCTGTGAGGTAATTTAGGTGATGTGTTGTTTTCTTTTTTTTTTTTTTACTGATGTCAAGAGATCTGCATTTTGAATACAGTTTAAAACTCTGATAGTTATTTCCTGACCTCTCTATATCCATGCTTGACTCCCAGAAATTGCTATTTTCCTATTCTCTAAAGAGATTATGTTGAATTTTATGTAACACGGCATAGAGAAAAGGAGGTTTTTCTCTGCTTAGCAAAAAGAAGCTTGTGTATCCTCTATTAAGCAAGCACCGTGGAGTAAATGCAGAGAGGTAGGTAATTTATTAAGCTAAGGAAGAAAAACAGAGAAAAAATGTAATGGATTACATTTAAATAAGTTTATACCATGGGTTCTTATTCTGAATTACACTATACAGTTTTGGGCTCACAATTCTGTATTTTCTTGGCATAGGCTTCCATAAACAGTACATTAGAATATGGATGCATAGCATTAGATATTAAAACATAGTTATGTTGTTGCTATGTGCTTCAAAAAGCATTATACTATTGTAACTAGAAATAAGACTCCTTCTCTTTAACCCATCTGTCTATTTAAGATATTCTTCCACGCAGTACTACTAAAAACAGATCATGCAGGGGGCACAGATAATGAGTTAGTGATTCTTTGATACTCTTAGTGATCCTGATGACAATATGTAGGACTAAAACTGGAGTACGGATTGCTCACAGTATTGAAGCAATTCAGGATTCTTTTATTGTTACTACATGGAAGGTTTCAACCAAGTGAAGTCAATGTTTTTCTGCTTTCCCATTTACTACCATTGTCACGAACACAAAACCACCTTTGTATGTCCTTCTCATCACTGCCATCGAAGTACTTAAGTTAAAATTTTTCTTCAGCAGTAAGTAGCAACAAGATCCAACAACCTGTCACCATGGCTTGAGAACACCTTTCTTGGTAGGACACTGGCATTTTAGCAGCTCTCTAGGGTGCTGTGCCACAGTCTGAGACAGAAGGTGTTTTCGGCATACTCTTAAAAGCACTGCACTTAAAAGTGTATCCGTTATGCTTATAGGTAATGTGGATCCTCATGGCCTATAAAATTTCCTTAAGGCAACAGGCATTTTATGTCTGAACAGATGGTGGAAATACCATATAAAACTAAAAAGGGGTGAAGTCAGTTGTTCTTTATTAATGTGACTTACTACCCATGAGAATTTAACAAAAAATGGTCATCTTACAGAGCTTCCCCACCTCATTCAATTTTGTATCATGGATCAGAAAATACACAAGAAGAATCATTTTCATTTAGGAAATGAAAGCCGACTTCTTTGGAGTGACTTCAGTGGAATGCAGCTGTTACCTCAGTCTTATTCCATGAAAGTGTCGTCATCTTCTGAATTTTGTCTTAATATCTCAGGAAAAATGTGTCAGTAATTGTGTATAGATGTGGTTTTTGATATTAATTACCCTCATGTAATTTGAGAAGAGTCTTGGATGTCAGTGCACTTGTTCCAGATTTGCAGTGGGGACAGAGATTGAGGCTTGCAGCATTATAACTGCATTTGTAACAATTATATTCAAAATGGAATATGTTTTACTTCTTGTTTGGATTTCTAAGGGAGTTTGAGACATCATGCACTTTACGTGCAGAACGCATCTATGGCTTTATGAAGAGGTTGTCTTTGCCAGTCTAAGACTATGTCAATGTTGTTTTTCTGAGCAAAGATCTGCAAGGCAATTGAATGGAAAGATCAACAGGCAATTTACTATAGCGGGCCAGTAAACAATGACTGGGCAACTAATAGTCCCTCATCCAAAGCAAAGATCCCCATAAACACAGTTCCTCTGTACTTTTAGTTTTAAGCAATGCACTAGGGCTTTCCAGGAATCTAAAGAATGCTGGAAAGTGTTTTAAATTATTTCATTAATAACAGAGTTGCTTGTTTAACAAAGCAATAGCTGTCTGTAGCTTAGCCCGAGATTTCCCCTAATAAAATGCCTAATCCAGGGTCCACTGAAATCAGCCAGATTTCTCCTTTAAGTAGGGTTAGCCTTAGAACTTGTCTGTCTCTGACTTGAAATGATCCGCATATTGAATTGAATTTTAAAAAATCCTCTCACACTTTGAAGCATGGCTCTTGAAAAACATAGATGGGAAAAGAGAAGGTTAAACAGCTGAAACACTTTCACATATACAAAATCATATAAGCAAATTAACTCAAGGAACAGCTAAGAATTTTATATTAAAAATAGCCTCCCATATGAATGTATTTCATCTTAGCACTGAGTGAATGAGTCAGATGTCACTTGTGATACAGCAGTTGACATTAAATTTCTCAGCTACCTAGAAATGATAGGATAGGTAGGACTTATGCTTTGGAACTTTGTATGACTGCAATTTAATAAATCTGCATTTGCCACATATCTCCAGTGTGAAAATCCTTGTAATATATAATTATGAGCTGGAAATAATTCTTAGCATGTAGTTCTCCCTCCAGTCTGAAACTAATCTGGACAGCATAGAAGGCTTACCTGTGTAGCTCCAGCTTAGATACAGCGGGAGCTGCTTCATGCAGAAGCCTCTTACTGAGTCTTGTAATGCATGTGCAGTAATGGCCAAATGCATGGCCATTGTCACCTAAACCCTGGTTACTTTCTTTTTAAGACTCTCCAACCATCACACACCAAACTGTGCCCCCGATTTCTCTGGACAAGCTCACGGGTCTTCTCCATTATGCTATTTCTAGCATAGTCAAATACTAATGCCATATCTTCGGGAACTGCTATTGCATCTGTCACGGTGAACCTCATAAGCAATTACATTTACTTCACACTAGCTGCTTGGCATTTCCTGGGGGTAGTAACTCCTTAAGATCTCTTATGGTACGACACCCGAGTTTAAAAAAATAATATATTGACCTATAAATTAAAGTGGGCATTGATGGAATGGGAACTGCATTTTTAAACATGTCTTTAGAAAAGTGAAACAGAACAGTGACATTGGTAAGAATTCTGTTGCTGGCTCCCTACAATGCTTTCCTGATAAGCTGCTGAAGCCAAGCATGCCTTCTAAATTAAAAAAAAAAAAAGATGCTTTCCTCATGTGGTTGAAGGCTTCAGTAATTCTGAATAGCTTCTTAATCTTACTTCATTACATTTTTTACTTTAGTTAATCACATTTTCTCTATTCTTTTTAGCATAAAACATTTGGCGCACATTAAGCATTTTGACTACTATCTGTCACACAGAGTTTCTCTCTTCTGCAAGGCAAGAAGTGTATGAAGTGAATTGGCTTGTTTTGGCAAGAGTTTTTTAAAATTAGATTGAATGGATAGCTAGGTTGCTATCTATGTATTGTGAAGGAGCAAGGTTAAAAATTTGTCTTGGCCATGGAGCACAAGGTGGGGTTTATACTGATCATTGTTTTCCAGTGGAGTTTATCCACCAATCTTGATCCAATCCCTTAATCCCAACGGGAAGCTCGCCTACCTGCACAGACCATCAGGCAGCCAGGAGCAGTCAGGAAGTTCTAGAGTCAACAGATCTGATCAGTCTTCTTAGTGCATATGCTTGGGGCATTGGTTCCTCAAGAGCCCTGCTAGGAAGCTGGTCTCAAAATTCAGTGGAATTATTTTTCAGCTAAAATGTATTTACAAAGCATTTCACTTTTGAAAAAGCATTTTCTGACAGAAACTTGTTTCTGTGGTACATCCCCAGTCAGCTCTTGCGGATGGGATGTTCTTATTAAACCGTCAGCTCCAGCCCTCTAAATCACAAAGGGAGGAATAGGTTTGCAAGAAAGGCAATACCTTCAGTCCCATAATCTCTGTACTTACAGTTACCAATACTCCCATCCCAGACACAGCTAGCGTCAGTCTCTGGTCAAAATGTTGTCCAGCTATCATCCTGTTCAACTTAGCATTCACATTTAATCAGAGAGGCATGAGGTGACT